GCGTACATTCTGGCAAAACCACTAGTTCATCGATATACCGACTAGAATGAGATCTCATAATCATCTGTTGTTTGCAGTGACATGCGTTGTAATGTGTGTGTGCGTTTCCGGTCAGTTTTCGCCGACTGCGATAAACCAGTTGGTCAATAAGCTGCAGCTGATAATCACTGGGACGAGTGAAGCAGTTCGGGAGGAGAAGCCTTTCCCTGTGGCCGTTGTGTCTGCTGTCGTGGTAACGGTCATGGTGATGACGTTACAAGGAAATTTCATGTCTTTCCGGTAGTTTTTAATTTGATGTATGTTTTTTCACCGCGGAATTGTAAAATGTATACAACTTATAAGAAAACCACAACTATATTCACTACCGAGTATACAGATTCAAATGCGTATTTTTAACATTTTTGATTTTTTGATTTAAACATATTTTTATTTGCATCTAATATACAAAAGGGATCGGGCACAAGTTGTCCAACTTATGTAAAGCCCTTTCCTTATAACATAATGAAATATATATATACAAGATGGCAATTTTTAAATTAATTAATATTTTCAATTAAATTTAGTGTTACTGACAGAGAGAGAGAGAGAGAGAGAGAGGGGGGGGGGGAGGCCATAGCTTGAAGATATTTAATTTGAGATCGTGGTAGTGATCTTCTCCGACACAGACGGCACTAGTAGTAACACTGTCCACTATTCACATCACTCTGCTTTTCTAATGTTCATCACTTCCCGTGCCTCTGTTGCCTTCTCCTTGCAAATTCGATTCCTTCTGGTATTTTCATTTCACTAGTGCCGTTTGTATCGGGGAAGACAAAAACACGACTCTTCAACATTTAAGATAAGAATGATTTTATAACATTTTTGATGATATGCGACAATTAAGGTTCCGTTCAGACATACTCTCAATATACGCAGTAGCTGATATTGGAAATATATTTGATGTACATCTAAAGGCATTTCAATCAATAAATGTATTATTAATCAAAACAATAAATAAAATGTTGTTATACCTTTCTGTAAGGTTTCTTTTGGTTCCCGATATCCTTTCCTGTTTTAGCAAACGTTGGAAGAGACATTTTTGCGGGAAATGACTACCGTTTCGTTTGTCGAAATTCGTTAATTCGGTGTACCAATATTCAAATGCCATGTGATGGTGTTTTTCTGTTTTTATTTTTTTTATTAATATTATCTTATTTTATTTAAAATATTTATTTATTTATTTTGTGCATAGTCACACTATTGCACTAGGAAACGGAATCAGAATATGCGTGCATATCTCAATTAATTTGTGAAGAATAGCGATTTGTTAAGGTCAAAATCCTTAAAGCATGGACAGTATTGTTTTGGATATAAAGTAAGGTTTGGAAAGAAGAAAAAGTTTACAGAAACGTCTGCTTTCAATGTTTAAAAATGTACCGGCAGTTACAGAAAACTCAGAATAAATATCGTTTTATGTTTCGGACGATGACTTGACTCAAAACCACACTGCAAGAATTAATTTATTAACATTTTTGCCAGTAATATATTTAATTCAGTCCGCATGATTAAACTAATAGCTTAACATATCATGTCAAACAAAGGCAGAAAACAGTAGTGCTGAGTAGCTTATTATAAGTGGAGCGTAGCTTTGTAGTCAAGTGTGGCTTCCTTAGAATATAGCGCCAAAGGTAACACTACTATAACACCCCACCCCCCCCCCACCCNATAGAAAAAACAAGCAAACTCGTGGAATGTATATCCCCCGCTTTCAGGACATATTGTAGGTAAGCATTATTGAGGCTAGGTTTAAAAATGTGAGTATCGAGCTGTTGAGACAAAATGTACATGTATAGCTTGAAACAAAGTGGTTGTCAAACTTGGCCGAGCCCTTAATGCGATGAACCCTGTTACAAAGTTTGAAGACAATCGGATACTATTTGCGAGAATAAATGAACAGAAACGGAAGATAATGACGTTTTCGTTATTCAAGGGGCCATTACTCCGCCAAATGGGGTCCGCTGAAAGTGGTCATCGTACTTGGCCGAGCCCTTAGGGCACTTAACCCTGTGACCAAGTTTGAAGGAAAATCTGTTAACATTTGTTGTAGTTATTGCACGGAAACGAAGCGGGGCAGATAATGACGTTTTTCGTTATTCAAGGGGCCATAACTCCGCCAAATGGGGACCGCTCAAAGTGGCCACCGAACTTGGCCGAGCCCTTAAGGCATTTAACCCTGTGACCAAGTTTGAATAAAATCAGTTAACATCTGTTGTAGTTTTTGCACGGAAACGAAGCTTTACAGACAGACAAACAGACAGACGGACGGACAAACCCAAATTAATAACCCCCGTTTCGGTGAAAATGGGGGGTAAAAAGAATAATATGTGTTATTCGACGGGAAAACCAGATTTAATCTGCTCTTGTAAAAAAAAAAAAATCCTACGGTAGCGTACATGAAGTTAAGCCAAATTGAGAGTCAGTAGGATACATATTGGGGCAAATAATTAATTGTATTTATCCATATCTTTTGTACTAAGGAGATGATGACATATTACCCTTCAAAATAAAGGTGTAGACTTTTAATTACGCTGCCCCCATCCCCACAATTTTCTTAATGTTTGTGTTTGTTTGTTTGTTTGTATTTTATTGCCAATCATTACATAACAACTTGTCTGAATTTTACGTAAAATACACGTGTGATATACGTGAGAAAAACTGTTTATGTCATATCGTTTCTCCCACTAGTATAAAAATAAATGTCAAATGAATCATCGCATATTGTATATGTTTATAATTTGCTGACAGGAAAAAAAAATTGCCGTTGGCCGTAAAGTTACAAAGCATTTTTGCTTTCATTTTCCGAATTCACTTTCAATTGACAATTTACGCAATAATGTAAGTATCATTCACATTCATCTCTTATTTGTCAACAAATGAAGATTGGTCATTTATGTTTTTATCTCACTAGGGTTTGTTCATTTTCAAAAATTACAAATAGATAGATCTCCAAGTACTCAGTCATCCCCAGGAGGTATGTTATCGAAAATGCATCAGAAGGTTTGACCGTCTCATGAACTTGTTATTATCCAGACATTTTGCTGTGACAAGATCTACGATGATACTTCTCCATTAGAAAAGTCATATTATGGTCATGTGGAATCTTCCGCAAGGGAAGGGTATTTTCCTGTAGATCGGTGAAAGTTTTAAAAAAAACGGTATCTTTTATCAATTGCGTATTTGGGAAACCTCTACATTGTATATTGGGTCCACCACTGGTCAACGTCAAACAATAAAACAAGACAAAAATAGGGATATTTCAGCCATTCCAACCGGTAAATATAGTTTTGTCCGTATTGAAGAGTTTCTTTTCCTATTCCCCCCTCACTTGGATACTTGTTTGACATGACAAACCATGACATTATTATTGTTTACAAACCTCTTATAATGCAAAGATCATCCATGCTTCTGTGACAGCGCTTTACTGGTGAACGTTTATATCAGAATATATACCTATCAGTGCCTTTTGGCGGCATCATCAAAGAGACTTTACCTTCACAAACATCTGTCCCTCGGGTGAAAGTTAGGACCATGACCACTCGGTGTCCTTCAGAACTGACAGATTTATTGACCACCCTGAACATGACTTACAATGACCATTCCGGTGACTTAGTGCACATTTTCTAGAATACACCCGATTCACCTCTGGTGGTCCGGGATACAGTTTACTGACATTCCGTAACCTTTTTTATCTTGAACTTCTGTACACTTGTTATACTATTTATTCTATTATTTATATACTGTATATTGCTTATACTTTGCGTGCAATATTTCGATAGCAGGATGTAATGTGACTTCAATTATTTCTCCCACAACCACTATATGTTTCCTCACTCACGACATATTTGATAAACCTGCTAGCAGTTGGTTAACATTTGAGATTCTTATGATGTCACGTAATAATGCTTTGTGACGTCATCTTTCATTGTGACGTCACGATATATGGCAATTATTTCCGGCATCGGAAATCAGACATGATGTATTTTCCAAGGGAAATATGTGGTTTCCAGATAAAATATAAACGTTATGGAAGAAAGTGACCAATCAAAGGCCGTGTTATATAGTAAATAAATCAAGATATAATCCACAACGAGCATTTTGTGATTTCCTAATCTAGATAAAACCTTAATGTGAAACAGTGTTGGTCATGGCGGTAAAGAACCATAACAACATTTGCCAAAACATTCATTGCTTTTAACGTCAGATGTTGACGGGCATACGAAAAATTGCGGATTTCGCTACATCAGCGCTATGTAAAATCTGAATAAGGATCAAATATATATGTTTTTATATACCATCTTGTTCAGAAATAAAATGATCTACCTGAATATTTCATTAGAATATATAGAATTTTCGAGTTCAACGTAATAATCGCCGATATAACGTCAAAATTCGCCATTATTTAGGGGATAGTACGTTGTTTTGAGTGGCTATACTGGCGATTAGAACATGAAATTTGGGTTTGAACTCGAGACCAATAGGTTGAACTCGAAAATTCTATATATTCTAATGAAATATTTAGGTAGATCATTTTATTTCTGAACAAGATGGTATATAATAACATATATATTTGATCCTGATTCAGATTTTACATAGCGCTGATGTAGCTAAATCTTGCCATAGTTTTTAGTTGTTCAAAATGTCCGTTCATTCACAATATGATTTCTAGATGAATATGTTATGTGGTCTAGTTTTATCAATCCAAATTCCTGTGATAAGTAGGTACCAGTTCCAATTACTTTGCATAAGGGGTCAGGTTTATAAATAAACCGATTTTCATGCCTGCATAGACATTTGCAGGTCCAACAGAATTTATACCCAAAATTGTTATATTTTTAAACGGTCAAACCGGTTGTTCCGCATAAACGAACAGACCGTAGTCTCGTTCAATCTGTTCGGCGTAGCTTGCGTAGACAACAAGAGTCTGGTTGAACGACACTATCGTCATGTTCGAACCATCGACCCCTTCGGGTACCCCACTCAAACAGCGTGTGTCTTCTCGCCAAGCAGGTAAAGTGACAAGCGGACATGGCAAAACTACTGTGGAGAAGAGTGTCCCCACGAGTGAAGCGACTGCTCTATGTATTTGCATTGTGTTGTTTAGTGTTTACCGGGTACGTGTTTATCGGTAACTCCGTTATGTACGAGGAACCAAGCGGTTTACCGGACCAAGTTACACAAATCACTGCAAAAGGTAGGTCATACCTGTTATGTACACAAACACACGCACGTGTGAACGGACTGGAGAATTGCATATATTGTGGTTCAATTCAATTTCTTTATTTCCAAATACAACAGATAGAATATAGAAGTTACAATATACATGTACATACAAGTAAATATTACAATCCATTTCTGTAAGATGGCGGAGAACATAGAGTAAGATTCAAGATGACATCATAGCAATGTTTCTCCTCATAAAAATCGGGCGTTTGGTGTTCAAAGTTTGACATTATTCGAAATATTTAAACAAGTTTGTCAATATTTTGTGTACATGTTCAATTTCTCCACCTCGATCAGAAGTGTGTGGCCCTGATGGGGTTTATATACAAATCCCTACAAGTCGAACGACACAACTCTCTAGGTAAGTAAACCTAAACATCATCCTGCGATTCGCAATCGTTGGACACAGCTTCATTGCCAGGATGGCTGGAAACTCTCTCCTCCAATCCGACGATGTCCAGCTGAAAGTAATCCGTGGGGCAACAACCAGGACACTTTAACATTCGAAGAAGATCCGTGATCTTGATGTCGACCGGGTTTTTCTACAGATTGGAGGAAACGACATCGGCCCCACATCAGTCCCAGATGACATTGTCAGTGACATATGTGACGTTGTCACTATGTTTGTACAGAAAGGATGCCAGGTGATAGTTGGCAGCCTGTTCCAGCGCTACAGACCGCGGCATATGACACAAGAAAACTATGAAATACAACGGACCAGAATCAACACGCGTCTATGCGAATATTTAAAACAGAAGATTACGTTACATATTGGGAACTGCGCGGACTACAACACCTGACAGCTGCTGCATTCAAGGACGGCGTCCACCTAACACAGACATTGGAGACCCGTTATGCAAGACAACTTAAACTAGCCCTGTACTGCAGCCAGATGAAGTAGAGAAGTACTCAAATTAAGACGGTTCTTTTTAGGGCCACACAATTTTCAAAATAAATGTCATTGAATGTCTCGAAAAACGCTTCCCCCACCCAACAATATATAATGACCAAACAAATTAAAGATGGTCTTTGAAAATTCCCTTGCAATGACGTGGCTAATCGTAATAAATGATTTACAATTATATTGTTAATATCTATTGACATATATATAATTAATATGTACTCCCTCAAATCTCAATACGTATATACGTTTTACAGTGTCTAGCCGGAATAGAAAGCACGCCCCTCTTGTCTTTAATGATAAATTATTACCTGATGAAATAAGACATTAAGCATTTAGTGTTACTTTTGAATTATAAAGGTACTTGGGGGATCATATTCATGTTATTTTTAGTATAACTTGTATTAGACTCAACATATTGAGAATGCTTAAAAATATAAAATCGATAGAAAATAATTGGAAACGATATTTTATTCTTATATAAGACCTGTGCTTTAGTATGGTGATATTATCTGGAGTGACTGTACCATTGGAGAATCTAATATGCTTGAATCTGTTCAAATTGAAGCTATGAAAATTATTTGGGGGTGAAGAAGTGGGACATCTCATCGAAAACTATATCTTGAGGTAAATATGGAAACTTTAAATGTAAAACGCCATAAACATAAAATTAATTCTAATGTGTAAGATCTTTAATCTTTTATAATTAAACAGTGCAATCCTAGTAATCTTGATATAATACTGTCAAATCAGACACAAAGCAAGTGACTTAAAACTTCTATAAATTTACTGACCACCTTATTCAAGATGGCAGTTGTTCTTGTGGAGCACCGCGTGAAGATGCTGATCATTTTTTCTTTTTCTGTCCGAATTATTCTTATTTCAGGCTTGAAATATGTCAACAATCTCAGTAAATAATTAATTATCGAAAATTTTGTAAATATACCTTATTATTCTGTGTAAATGTATATATATATATGTTGTACCGGTTCAGGAAACTTATATAGGCACTGCCTGTTGTCTAATCCTTTTGTTAACACAATAACATTTGTTGAAACCAAAAAATATACGTTCAAATTTTGTTGATGGTCGTAGGTGTATTATACAGCAACAGACATTTGATTACACATTGTTGTAAGTACTATGTATATAAATATATCACGAAAATAACAAATACGGCTATCAAAATAGGCAGACAATGCTTTGGAAGGGAAGTAACTCGTACATAACTACATGTACAACTCTTAGCTGTTATCGTAGGCATATAATTAACGAGAAATTTCGGTACATTCTGCTGTTATGATCAACCTGATATTTTGCACACAGTTAGGTAAGTGAAAAATATTTATGAATCAGAAGACAGAAGTAAAAAATATCGATTAACGAATTCCCGTGCGCGCGAACACCTCCCTGGACACTCATTCCTCCGTTGACACTCAATCCACCCTCGTGAAAATAATATTTATCGACGTATTTCGGTACTTTCTACTGTTATGATCGACTTGAAATTTTGCACACACCTAGGTAAGTAGAAAATATTGATGAATCAGAAGAAAAAAATGAAAAAATATATAATAACGAACTCTCGGGCGCGCAAAAACCTCCCAGGACACTCATTACTCCGTTGACACTCAATCCACCCTCGTGAAAATAATATTTATCGACGTATTTCGGTACTTTTTGCTGTTACGATCGAACTTAAATTTTGCACACACCTAGGTAAGTAGACAATATTGATGAATCAGAAGAAAAAAAATGAAAAAATATATAATAACGAACTCTCGGGCGCGCAAAAACCTCCCAGGACACTCATTCCTCCGTTGACACTCAATCCACCCTCGTGGAAATAGTGTTTATCGACGTATTTCGGTACTTTTTGCTGTTACGATTGAACTTAAATTTTGCACACACCTAGGTAAGTAGACAATATTGATGGATCAGAAGAAAAAAGGGAAAAAAATCTTATAACAAAATCTCGGGCGCGCAAAAACCTCCCAGGACACTCATTACTCCATTGACACTCAATCCACCCTCGTGAAAATAGTGTTTATCGACGTATTTCGGTACTTTTTGCTGTTACGATCGAACTTAAATTTTGCACACACCTAGGTAAGTAGACACTATTGATGGATCAGAAGAAAAAAGGGGAAAAAATCTTATTACAAAATCTCGGGCGCGCAAAAACCTCCCAGGACACTCATTACTCCCAGGACACTCATTAGGGTGACCGTGTCAAACCATGTGGTAAATGGCCCTAGTGTAAATAGTTTTAAACACGGACTCAATAAGTTCTGGTCTGATCACCCCTGTAAATTCAATGGCTCCTGCCATTAGCAAGATCCTGTCAGACCATTTAATATTTTAACTCGCCTTTTAACTGTAAGATTTCTGGATTTTATTTCCTCTTTATCAATACGCACCGGAAGTCACGTATTAGTATAAGAATATTAAAATGCGCCACAAAAAGCTACCTGAAACTTACTTTTGGTGTCTACAACTATATCAACTATATCAACAACACATTTATGAACGAATTCTGAGTTGATGTTCATTCGAATTTACTTTCGGTGTTGTAATTTTCATATGTTTATGCAAAGCTAGATGCATTCGAAGTGGAGAATTGTTTTTGAAACACTGTGTAGTAATTATAAATAGTGTTCGCCAACTATACACGCAATGGAAAGTACTGACTTGGTATGAAATAAAATGGATGGTCATCCGTCGAATTTCCTCGATGTGTGTGATTCATCTCAGAAATTTGTTATCGTTTGAGTTTAGCTGTCTCAAGAACGCAAACACTGCTACAAACAAACATGTGCAGTTATTGCCATTGTGTAAAATATTTTAGTAACTCTCACGTACCGTTATTATATATGGTCGACACTACTATATATATTTAGTACATCACAAGATAATTTCTAGGATAGCTATTGGATAACTCCCCTTTTTTATTTGGTATAGTTAGCATCCGCCCTTGACCACGGGAGCTATACCTGGAGACGGGCACTATACCTTTTCTTTTGGACCGCTGAGACTAGGGAAAAGTAGCGTGACGCTAAGAGTTGCGCCCCTTCGCCTGGGACGCTGTATATATTCTACTTTCACTTCATTGTTGTCGTCTGCCAAAATGGCTTCGAATTCGGGACCAGGAATGCTGATTGCTTCGCAGAGGCTCAGCAATGCATAAAGACGAAGCAGATGACACCATTTGACGTCGCAGTACTTAAAGACTTCCTACTGGAAAGGGGAACCGTATGTGACCTAGCGGTGATTCAATCCCGCAACAAAAAAGGAGAGATCTACTCAAAAAATTATCTTATTGACATTTGTTGTTAATTATTTAATATGTTACTTTTTATTGTCAAATGACAGTCATGTGATGTACTAAATCTATCATGACCCTTTCCCTCGGGAACAGTTCTCTTATAGTGTTGTCTGGAGAGGTATAGTGCCCTCGCCTAACGGCTCCTGCACTATACCTCCCCAGACAACACTATAAGAGAACAGTTCCCTCGGGAAAGGGCCATAATAGAATAATATATATACATGTATGACCAGTTTAATCTCCAACAATTAGGCCTAAATAAGATTCAAGGATACATCTCCTGTCTTAAAAAGGTTTCATGACAAGGAGCACGTTAAATATCTTGTATGAACGATAACTCATGGCACTATAACGAAAAACTTCTAAAATCAGGCTTTATAACATTTTTTTCTTATATATGTCGTTATAACGAGGATTAACTAAAATATGACAGTATTCGCAAAAATTAGGCATTATAACGAGGGTTTGATAACTTAAGTCATTGTAACAAGGTTACGAGAGTTTACACAACGTATTATAAAAAGAGTTTATATATTTCATTATAACGAGGGTTTAATAACTTAAGTCATTGTAACAAGGTTACGAGAGTTTACATAACGTATTATAAAGAGAGTTTGTAATGGGCATTATAACGAGGGTTTAATAACTTAACTCATTGTAACAAGGTTACGAGAGTTTACATAACGTATTATAAAGAGAGTTTATATATTTCATTATAACGAGGGTTTAATAACTTAAGTCATTGTAATAAGGTTACCAGAGTTTACATAACGTAGTATAAAGAGAGTTTGTACGGGGCATTATAACGAGGGTTAACAAGAATTCGGTATTGAATGAGGGTTTACTTACCTGAAGCACTATAACAAGAATTCACAAACATAAAATAAAACACATTTTCTTTTTATTTAGAAAAAATATTTGATCCGAAAGACTACACAAGCTGTCCGTCGCCAATTGATATTTATGAAGAAAGAAATGTTACCCACCACAAACTCCAAATTCGATGTGGCGTGGGCAAAGCAGAATTGTTCACTGACTTCTCCAGTGACGCCAAAGTCCTGTCGATCAACTCTGGGGAACCTTGTCTGTACAACGCCATTAATAACTACTGTCCGTCAGACGGCTACAAAGTACCAAACCTGGCTCATTACATTTGGTTTAATATCAAAACCATGTCGTTTTATCATTTTCTTAGTTTTATGAGCGTGCATTTGTTCCAAGCGCCCTGTGTGATCCTCGTCCATGGCCACCTCCCCGGGGGTCCGTACTGGAGATATCTGGTCCGGGTCGTACCTAACATCATTCACGTGGCGACAAATCCCCCGTCCACCTTCAACGGAAAATCGATAGTATCCATGGAGCACAAATCGGACCTCGTCAGATTATTTGTCCTAAAAGGTAAGCCATTTACAGTGTCGCTAATATTCGTTGTGTTCGAAAAAACTTTTTCTTTCCGGATTCAATCAGGTTTTAGATACGCATGTCTAATGATAAGAGGGCATGTAAACTTCCGGTTTACAACAAAAATCTTACATTTGCACACAACCATATGCATTGGTGTACGGTTTCAAACTGCATGTCTAAAGAGAGGGCACTAGTCAGTAGATATCCCTTTCAAGAGCAAGAGGGACGTAAACAAATTAACAATAACCCATTGCTATCGAATTTTACCTGATTTTTGACGAAGTCGCCAAGATACTGATTTAACATTTGAATAGCAGAAAGTTGAAAATAGTGAATAGACTATCACTGGTTCCGTTTGCATGGAGAAAGAAAAATTACATGGTCCGAGATACACTGATGTTTTCTTACCTATTAGTAATATATTACAAAAGTCGGTTTTCTTATATATATGTAACCTGGAAAATTTGTATTAATATATGGGAGGGAAAGGGCTTATATAAGATGTTAAACGTGTGCCCAGCTCTCAATATCTATCTATATATAAATTACAGTAAAATATTTTTAAACTAATGGATTTACCTCGACCGGAAGTATGCACGCGCCCCTATGATTATTTACCACGTGACCGCAAACTCACATGTATTTTCTTCTCGGAAAAGAAGTTGTGGTATCCACATTGTCCATTCGGAATATGCTAGGTAGCAAAGGCAAGGTGTTCCGAATGCCACATTGTCCTGTCAACATTTCAAGTTTTTTTTTTTTTTTTTTTATTATCATTATTTCTCTCAATTTAATCTCTTCGCGATCGTTGAAGTGATATATTTATGTTAAGGATTCTACTGTGTAGATATATATTTCTCTATAAATTAATAGGGCAAGGTTTAAACTGTGTACATTATTGACATCAAAATATCATTTGAATTAATCATAACATTCCTTGGCAACATGAAACTGCCTGTATAACTAACCAGTAAACAGTTTTACTTGTCTGGGACATTGTATAAATTTAAAAAATATTTAAAACTTTATTTATTTAACAACAATTATAAAACAAGTTTTAACAACTTATATTAATCACTCTTGTTGGCTTGGATGTTAGCGCGCAAGGGGGGGGGGGGGGGGGGGGGTNAATGTGGGAAGAAACCGGAGTACCCGGAGAAAACCAACGTAATTGGGCAGGTGAACCCATACCTTTTCACGTCCGACCGGGGAATCGAAACCAGGCCGCCTTGGTGAAAGCCAAGTGCTCTATCCACTGCGCCACTCGACCACACCATTTTTTGTATAAAAATTAGAATGTGGCATGTGCCCTATTCAGAAGCTTGTGCTTTTAGGTCAAGGTCACAAGGGTAGGTCAGAGGTCAACTTACATACACATATGGCTGTAAAGACAAATTATTAATTAGTTGCAAAGTGTTATATTGGTAAGACATGTTGGCGAGTATATCGTCGTCCGTTAACTTGTTGTTTGTCATTCATCATGAAATACGGGTAAAGATATATCGTTGTACGAAAGGAGGTTCTACCAACGGTTATCTCCCTTCTTCCGTTAAAATGCATCAGGGTGGAAACACCCAGGCATCCTTGAACAAAATATCAATACCTTGAATTAAAGGGCATTGTTGGTATCCTTTTGACTTTTGTAACCTTGACCTTAGAATAACGGAGCAGGAGGTGGTGGAATGAGGGTGGAAGGAGTGTCAAAATTTCATGAGGGTTGTTGAATAGAAAATAACGAGGCTAAGAAGGATTTTTGAAGCTAAAAATAGCCTGGTTTCTGAGTGTTTCATGATGATTCGCTTCCGTGTGGATCATTGTGGGAATTTAATAAGCCAGAGTATCAAGAAACCCCTCTCGTTCCGCCACTAACTTATCTTCTTACAAATCTCTTTACAGAATACGGCGGGATATACTTCGACATAGACAGCGTCCTGCTCCGTAGTCTCGACTCCATAAGGAATCATTCGGTTACGATGAGTCTTGAATACTGGTCAAACCTCTCAAACGGACTCATCCTGGCCGAGCCGGACGCCAAATTTACACGCATGTGGATTTCCAAATACCGTGAATACACGTATGACCCTGAGTTTTATTTTGAGTACTCCCTTTTCGTACCAACCAAGATCGCGAGACTGCATCCGAAATGGATTCATGTCGAGCACATGACTTTCTGCTCGCCAAACGGTGAAAACAGAAACCAAATATTTGAAGGAAATTATGACTGGGGCAAAAATTTTGCTTTGCATCTTTATATCCGGTTTTACAAAAAAGAGCACAGCTGTGCTGACGTCCGGAAACTTAACACAACAATTGGTGCCGTGGCTAGGTTCGTGATATATGGCACCAGGAAGCTGTGTCTTGATTAAAAGTGCAATTGAAAATAAATTTGAAGGAATAGCATTGTGTTAATTTAAACATTCCATATACTAAAATGAAATCACTTCCAGCAATGTAATATAAATGGATGCAAACACTGTATGGCACGTTATATATGTTAAATATAACTACTGGCAGATATTTACGATGGCCGATAGCAGCCGACACAAAACAACTACAATATAAGACATTTGTGTATATGTACACTTTTTAAAAACTGTACATATACACAATACAACTACAATATAAGACATTTACATGTACAGTTTTTAAAAAGTGTACATGTACATAAATGTGTTATATTGTAGTTGTTTTGTGTCGGCTGCTATCGGCCATCGTAGATATGTCGCTTACAAAAAGAAAAGAAAAACCTCACCGTCTTGACAAGGTATTGCAACGCGAAGACCAGAAGTTAAGGGTTAGCTGCAATTCGGCTTGAATTTCTATATAATCCGGTAGTATTGTCACATGCACACTTTACATATAGATCTATTTCAGATTAAAGTAATGGCTAGTCCTCATAGCGATAACTAGGGTAGTGAAAACGAGACAACACGGCACACTGATGAGCTGAATCAACCTTTGAAAAACGTCGCATATTTCGACGGGGGGGG